CCGGACTCGGGGAGGAGAGATTGTGCAGAGAGGCTGGCTGAACTGGACTCAAAGGCCCCTCCCAGCCCCCAGGGAGCCCAGCTGTTCCCTCCACAGATTCTCCAGAGCTAGTTCATCACCTCCGAATACTCCTGTGACAGGAGGCGCTTGCAAAACCCGCCTCCAGCCCCTAGCAGCAATAAATAGAAGGCTCCCAGCCCAGAAGCGAGGAGAAGTTTCTAGGGTTTATTAAGCTCCTGGCTCCACTCTAGACCTCAGCGGCTCTGGCTGCGAGCCTGGGCAGCCTGGGAAGACAGTGGCTGGCTGATCTCTGGTGAGGTGGTGTGGAGGGGGCCCCTCTGAGATTCTGCTGGACCGGCCGGGGGTCACCTTTGGTGGCTGAAGTGTCTTTGGGGGCTGGGACCGCAGCCTGGCGCGTGCCTTCGTCCTTGGCAGTGGATGGTTTGGCATTTTCTGAAGCCGAAGAACAAGCTTGGAAGGCTAGCCCAGCCGCATCGCCTTGCTGAGTGACCTTGGGCAGGTGGCTCCCTCTCTCTGAGCCTCCAGTTTCCCCTCTAGCTCAGCAGCTGCCATGGCCGATGGTCAGATGCCCTTTCCCTGCCACTACCCCAGCCGCCTGCGCCGAGACCCTTTCCGAGACTCGTCCCTCTCCTCCCGCCTGCTGGATGATGGCTTTGGCATGGACCCCTTCCCCGACGACTTGACTGCTTCTTGGCCCGACTGGGCCCTGCCTCGACTCTCCTCGGCCTGGCCAGGGTCCCTGAGGTCGGGCACGGTGCCCCGCGTGCCCACCGCCACCAGCCGGTTTGGGGTACCTGCCGAGGGCAGGAGCCCCCCACCCTTCCCTGGGGAGCCCTGGAAAGTGTGCGTCAACGTGCACAGCTTCAAGCCGGAGGAGCTGATGGTGAAGACCAAGGACGGCTACGTGGAGGTGTCTGGTGAGTGAGGGGCAGGTGGGAGAGAGAACCCAGCTAGGTGGGTGCAGGCCTCGGCCCTGGCTACAGCCAGGAGAACTGTTTCCTTAGAGCGGAAGCTATGACAGCATGACACAGGTGACTTCAGGGCTCGGGAATGCGGCCCACAGAAGTTATCTTTAGGAAAGAGCTTTCCTCTCCTGGCTCCCAGGAGAAATCTGAGTCCGACCTGGCTTCGGGGGCCTCGGGGCGCTGTATCAATCCCAGAACGGGCAGGAAGACGGGAACCACGTCAGCTAGTTTGACAGAGAGAATTTTATAGAAAGAAGAAATGAAACCGATACAGAAGGAGGAAAAAGAAAAAAATGGGGTTCGTCGCACCCCAGCATCACAACATGGTCTAGAAGGGCGTGTTTAATGCTGAGTGTTGAGAGTTTTCATAACCAGCACGGCTTTCAAGCGACACGCTTCCCCTTGTCCCAGATAAGGAAACCGAGGCTTAACAGTCATTATAACAATACCAATTAGTGACGTGGATTGAGAGCTTACTCTCTGCTACGCACCACACTCTGTGCTTTACCTGTAGCGTCTCAGAGCATACGACCAGGGGACATGAGCCGTGTTTGTCTCCTCTTTTTACGGATGAGGAAACTGAGGCACAGAGAGGCTAAATAACATGCCCAAGGCCAGCAAAGGTTCAAACCCAGGCCGCCTGGGAACTGGGAGGCCGGAAGCAAACTGATGGTTTATTAAGCATCTACTAGGTACCAAGGGCTGGGCTAAAACTCTTCGATCCCTTCTCCCAAATAATCCGCACTCCAGCCCCGAGAAGCAGAGGTATCTAGTCCCATTTTGCAGCCGAGGCTGAGACCCAGGCAGGACTCTTCCAAGGTCACGCTGTGAGTCAGCAGCACGAAGAGTCTAGGCCTGCCCATGACTCCAGGCACAGGGCCCCTGTCACCAGGTCCGGGCCTGGGAGAGAGAATGCTCCAGGCAAAAGCAAAGAGGAGACTGGAGTCTCCGCCCCCGTGAAGCTGGGCAGCAGAGGAAAGGCTTTCTCTCACTTCCTTCCCAATTAAAGCTCCATTAAAAAGAGCGTGTTCCCAGGGAAGCCTCTGCCAGCCAGAAAATCAATAAAAGCCATTGCAAAAACACAAGCTGGGCAGGGACAAGCCCTGGCAGGGCGGCGTTTGGGGGGAGTTTCAAAGCCCAGCAGAGCGGAATTAGAAACATCAGAGGCTCCGTCTGGTGTGGTGGGCCAGGAGACAAGCTGGGGCCACGTGCTGATGGAGCAGGGGTCAGCCAGGGCTCTGTGAGTTGGCCGGGAGGCAGGCAGGAGTTTTGAGACTGGCTCCGCCACTAACCAGCAGGATATACACATTATTCAACTTCTCTCTGCTTTGTTTTCTCATCTGGAAATCAGGGTTCAAAGGGCTACACAGCATAAGGAGTGTTGTATTAAATGAGGTGATGCTTGTGACACGTGCCTGAAACACAATGGTTCAGTGTCGTTATTCAAGTTGACGTTGTTGTTATTAAAATGCCGGCCACGTAGCAAGGCCCCAATAAATCATAAATGGTGGTTAGTCTTTGAGAGCCGGGTTCAGATCCTGACTCTGCTGTTCAATTTCTGGGTGGATGTGGACAAGAAAGTCTTTTCACCGCTCTGAGCCACGGTTTTCTCATCTGCAGAACGGCGACCATAATAATATCTATCCCATAAGGCTGTAGGGAAGATTAAATAAATACAAGCATACAGTATGTGATAACAAATAAGCAGACAGGATATGATAATAAATGTCTGTGGAACGGAGCTAATGAGAGTGCCCACCCAGCACTCTGTAAAAAAGGGTGATGATCATCACCGCTCCTCCTGCCTTCGTTTTAACTAGGATTCTAGAGTCTTCCACCGCAGGTTGGAGGGTCCCCCATGCCCTGTGGAGATTTCTGTCCAGCCTGAAGGGCTTTTTCTCCATTCTCCTTTCTAGGTACTTCTTAACCAGTAGAGTCTGGCAGCTCGAGGCCTAGATCCCAGATCATTTTCCATCTGAAAAATGGGGTTGTTGAGGGACTTCATTAAGACCAAGAGAGACAAAGTCTTTTTAGGTTGTAAAATTCTCACAGGTGTGCACTCAGCAACTTCAGCCCAAGAGAATCCAGACCCTCTGAGAGTGCATACAGAGGCTCTCATAAAAGAGTTCTAAAAACTCTGGTCGGTATCTCAGGCTCCATTTAGAAAGCAACTGTCGAAGGAAATTGGAAGTCAGAGGCGGTCCCCCATCCTACATCAAGTGGCAGACCTAGTCTTCCTCAAGCACTTTGTGTGGGGCCTTGTGCTAAATGCCTACACAGGTTGGTTCACTGGCTCCTCAGGTGGACTTTTAAGGAAATATGGGAAGGTTTGTTACACGCACTTTACAGATGAGAAAACTGAGGCCCACGGCACCGGCTGAAATTCAAAGCCAGGCCTGCTTAGACTGTTCCCGGTCAGGATGGCCGGATCTGCTTCTGATTGTGTGGCCCTGGGCAAATCCTACCACCTCCTGGGCCTCGGCTTTATCATTGGTCTTAGAGAAGGGGGAGTAGATCGGTATTTGCCAAATGGTGTGCTGTAAGATGTCTCTAAGTATCTCGGGAAATGGAGGGAGGAGGAGGCCCAGAATTCCAGAAGATGCCAGACGAAAACAAAATTATAACCAGGTCTCCTCGCTGCAGGACTTATCAGAGCCTTGAGTTTGCTAATGTAGTTTATGAATCTCTGAGAGACGGTCTGTCTTATCTGACCACATGTGAGTGTCTAGTTCCAGGGAAGTGTTTGGATAACACTGGGCTAGAGAATTTCCATTGTGCCTCTCACCTCCCCTCCTCCAACACACACGCCCTGCAGCCACCAGCCAAGAAATGTTCCCTTCATGGGCCGCTGGGCCAGGCCCTGGCCCAGGAAGGGAATGGAAAGCCCCCGGGGCCTTATTCCCGCCCCTTCTTCTTAATCCCAGGGCCTCTGCCTCCCCTGGAAACAGCGCCTTCTTTCTTTAGCTGGGCCACTGGCTTTCTCCAAAGTGCTGATGCCTCCTCCTTCTTGGCACCTACATTTCTCTGAGGCATGTTGAGCAAATGGTGGCTGTGAGGGGCCTCTGGCTCCCCCCGGCCACCAGATGAGTCTTTCTTTTTTTGTTTAATCATAATAACTTTTTCCGTTGACATAAATAAAATATTTCCACAGTAGAAAATGTAAATAGGAAAGCAAAATAAGAAAGGAAAAAATCACTCATAATCCTTAAACGTCTCCAATAAATAGATATTCCAGTAATATGCAAATGAAACTTCAAGATGCACCTGCTAGCAACACCTTCTTTCAAGCAGATTAGCCCCCTCCTCAGGGCCCCCTTTATGGGAATCTTGGAGCTACCCCTGCTCAGAGAGCTTCATCTCCCTCACCCCAATGTCCTATTTTCAGAGCATGGACAGGGAGGGGTAGCTTCTGGGGAGCAGTCTTTTCCCCAAACATCAGAATAAACCAAAGGCGTTTACCTTCGCACAGTATATTTATAACTTACAAAGCAATCTTGTGACTCACTCTCATTGACTCTTCAGGGTAACCCAGTAATTAGGAAGTTGACATCACCCCCATTTTAGAGAAGAAGAAACTGAGGCTCAGAGGAGAGTAGAGATACGCCAGTCAATGTCACAGCAGAGATTCAAGTCCAAACCCTTCTACCTGCCTTCGAGCCTTGGCTCCAGCACTTCCAAGCTGTGACCTTGGCCACATTGCTTAAACTCCCTGAATTTCCATTCTACATCCACAAAATGATAATAAAAGAACCTGCTTTTGAAGGTTGTTGTGAAAATTTAAGGAGTCGGTATAGGTAAGCTGCTTAAAAGAGTGGCTGACACTAAGTAAGTGCTATATAAGAGTTTGCTATTCTTATTCTTATCATCATCATCATCATCCTTTATTATTCTTGGGACACCAAGTATTCGAAAGGGCTGAGTCAGAGGCACTGGCCTGTCCCCAAGGGAAGCAGGCCTCTAGAGGCCCAGGCTTTGGGGAGGGTACCAGGGGACAAACAGTGTTCCTTTGGCCACAGGCCTGAGTTGGAGCTGGGCAGCTGGTGGTCACAGACTTGGCAGGTCAGGATAACTCTGGGAGCATCAGCACATTCACAGGATGGCATGTTCTGGCTAGCCAAACTCTCCAGTTTAAAAACGAATTCCTACAGAGGCAACCCTTTTGGCCCAGCTGGAGGGAGAAGAAATTAATAGTCTTTCCTAAGCGCAATTTAGCGATATAGATCAAGCTTCAGAAATGCTAGAACTTGGGATTTGTCTTACAGAAGTCATCGGGCAGGTTGCAAAGATCTAGCTATAGGAATGTTCCGTGCAGTGAGATTATGTCGGAGACCTGTGACCGAAAGGCGGGGACTAGCTAAATGAACTTGTATGTTCTCACAGTAGGATGCTGCGCAGCCATTAAAAATCGCATCAAAGAATATTTGCTGTGACACGGAAAAATAATTATAATGTGTTCGCCAGATGTATAAATAGGTTTTAGGCATAACGTACAATATGATCCCATTTGATACAATACGTGATATACATCTGTACTATATAACATTTATGCATTTCTAAGTCACCTAGAAAGAAAAGTCTGGAGTATATGCAAAAATGTTGCCAGCGGTTTCCCCAGGGTCGATAGGATTATGGCTGCTTCTGGTTTTTTTTTTTTTTTCCCCTTTATTTTCTACATTTTCTAACATCACTTGTATTTTGTAATCAGAAAGAAGTTATTAATCAAGGCCTTTTGGTTTTTTTTTTTTCCCCTTTATTTTCTACATTTTCTAACATCACTTGTATTTTGTAATCAGAAAGAAGTTATTAATCAAGGGATAACGAATAATACGAAAATTCATAATTTAATTACTTATAAACAGTCAGCTTTTGAAAATCTGGACTGTAGAAAGACAGACATTCAGTCCCATAAAGTTATTTACAGCCTAGATTGCCGAGTCCCTCAGAAGGGTGTTCCCCCCGGAAATGAGGGTTCTCTGGCCCTGGAATGTGGCTCCACAAATGAGGAGTGAATAATAATAGAGGACCTCTGCTGGGCACTCATTCTTCCTTTAAAGAGAAATGAGAGACACTCCCTCCATTTAAAAAAATAAGATGGGGGGAGGGGCCAAGAGGCTCAGAATTTGTTCTATAAATTGCAAGATGATAGCCAGGTTAGGCCCAAGCCTTCTTGTAATTTCATCGTTTTTCTTCCTGAGGAAAGCAAAAAAAGCAACCTCCCCCTGCACCCTGTAGGAGGCGCGGCAGGTGGGATTTCACGTTCATGGCGTCTCATGGATCATTTCTTAAGCGGGGGGGCCCCCTTTGGAGAGTGTGGGTGGTTTTTGTTAGCAGATTGAAGCATTATTTCCGGGCGGTTCTTTCAAGACCAGGTAGAGATAACGCGGCTCAGAGAACTAAGTAGCCGCTGGGACCGGACCGGCAGAGAAGCCTCAGACCCCAAGGCTCGTTAGATTCGGAGAGTGCTGGTTCAGAGGCTAGGGCTGCCACACACTGCCTGGCGTGACCTTGACCCATCACTGGGCCTCCGTTTCCACACTGGTAACCAAGGGAGAAAGCCGCCCACCCTCAGAGCCCGGAAAGCCAGCTGGGTGGCACACCACCCATTCTGGGACATTAACCTCAGCGTTCACCTGGCTGGTTAGGGTTCAGGGGTCAGAGGCAAGACCTAGAAGCTACAGTGCAACATATGGCCCAGCTTCTGGGATCTCCTAAGACGAACATGTAAGCATCCACAAACCACAGTCAAGGTCTCCTGTCCTGTCCATCGTCTTATCTCATCTTCATGACAGCCCGGGAGGTGGGCTCAGGTGAGGGACCTGAGGCTTAGACAACGGAAGCCTCTAGATCAAGCCCAAAGCCACACGGGGAGGCGGGGGTGGGGCTAGGACTCAAATCCAAGCCCGAAAAGTGGATGCCCAAGGGATGTAAATGTGCTGACCTGTGGCCTTGCTCTCCCTTCCAGGCAAACACGAGGAGAAGCAGCAAGAAGGTGGCATCGTGTCCAAGAACTTCACCAAGAAAATCCAGTAAGTCATGAGGGAGTGTGGATCTCAGGCCGGGAGTGGGGGGCGGTGGTGCCTGGGACCCCAGGTCTGGGATCTGCACCCTGTTCTGGGAAACAACCCCTGGGGCAGGGAACTGAATCCTCACCCCGAAGGGGAAAAAAAATGACACAGCAAACCGGCAATAGGGTCCCAGAAAGAGGGGGGCGCATTTACATCGTGCCATCTCGTCTGTTCGGTGGCCCGTGAGATGAGTATGAACAATCCCACTTGGTAGGTGAAGGGTCAGAGGATAAGAGGGGCAAGATGGCTTGTCCACCAGGGGCTCTCACCGACCCACGTGGTGTGGCCGAAGGAGGATGTCCACCACCATCAAGAAAGACCCTCCCCTGATGCCCCAAACGCCCTAACAGAAGGTTTGGAAGGCTTTGGCTCTATCTCTCACTTGGCCGGGAGCACGTGTGCCCTCCCTAGAGCATCCGCAGGAATGAAGCTGGAAGGTTTCCTGACATCGCCGCTTGCTACCAAGAGGGGCTCTAAGGCTGAGAGAGCGGGGCCAAGGAAGGGCTGAGAGGATCGAGAAGGGCTCAGCCTGGAGGAATCACGCACGCAGCAGGAAACCACCAGGCTGAGCCGATGGAGCCAAGCGACACCGAGGCCCTAATGGCGGTACCCGTAGGGAAGAGAGACTCACAGCGAGGTACTGATGCAGGTGCTTCATGGACACACCTGCTCCCTAATCAGCATCCCTCCACTACGTGCACTTCTGGCTTCGACATCTTAGCCCGGACACCGTTGCATTTAGCCTTTGCTTGCCGTGATGGTGTGCAGAGACACCCCTGCCTTGTATGAGGGGGAAACTAAGTCTCCCGGAGGTGAAAGGCCACACCCGCGGTCCTAACTGTCAGAATTCAGAACAGCCCAGAATTGGTCCCCGAACACTGAGTTCATTCCTGGAGCGAGGAAGGCCTCGTCCTCATCAGTAAGAGGGATGGACGGTGATTCTAGCCTCGCGGACTTGCCAGCTGGAAACGAAATGGGATCGTGGCACCGCGAAAGACACCCGTGGCTCGTCATAAGCGGCAGTTCGTTATCACTATAATCGCCGTTGTTGTTACTGAATCTTAACTGCACCCCTCGCCCTGGCGAAATGGGCCACGTCTGGTGAGGTGGCGCTAGCTGAGCGCTGAGGCTTCTTCCCGCTCCGGGATTCTGCAGTCCTGTCTCTCCCGCTGCGTGTCTGTTCCTGAGCCACCCGGCGCCCTCGAGTTCTTGGAAGCGCATGGATACTTCCAGATAAGGCAAACGCCAGACCGTTTCTCTCCACACGCCTGCCATCCCCAAGCCCCACGCCTCCCCCGGGTACAGCAGCCAGATCCAGCGTCGCTAAGAGGGGAAAGAAAGGGGAAAGGGAGAGGAAGGGGGCTGACGTCTCTTTCCAGAGGCTCGAATAATCTTCTCGGGATGGAGTCACAGGCAGGGCAAAGCTGTGAAAGGGACTGGGCCGGAAAGGAGTCAGTGGGATTAATCATCTTAAAAAGATGGCCATTTTCATGGACTTCGTCATCTCTGAGGCCTCCAGGAAAGAGCTTGCTGGGAGTTATTTGACCAGATAGAAATATGGAAAGCTGCCCTTTAGCTGGGGCCCAGGAGCGGAGCTGGGCTACTCGTTACAACATCGAACTAGCCATTGCTCTGAATCCCCCAAGTACCCCACCCTAGCCAATCAGCCATCCTGAACCTGTCCCCAGAATCCTCCTCCATCACTGTGGCGTGAAGCCATCCATTCTGGTTGGTCGAGGTCCAGCTGTGCCAGTCGTTAAATATTTTTGAATCTCACCCCTGGGCGTAGGGAATCCTGGCTCCATGATAAAGTGAGTGGGTGATTTGGAGCGATTGCTGAACTACTCTGAGCTTCTGTTCCTGCGTTCCCTCACGGACGGGCTGTGATGGGGAGCGAGAGGATGTGGGTGCAGAATTTAGCAGCGGGTACAGACTCAGCGCTCAGCCCGTGGGAACTAATCTTTTTAAAACCTCCAAACCGGGCCACCTGATGAGGGACCTTGAACAAGTCTATTCCTACCTCTGGGCTTCAGTTTCCCCATGTGTAATATGAGAGCGTTGTCTTGGACAATCAAGAAGATTCTTTTGGGCTCTGACATTCTGTGGTTCGATGACACAGCAACTCATACAAAAATATTCACAGCTGTCAAGGCGACAGCAATAACAACGTAGAAGCCAACACTTATCGAGCACTTGCTGCATGCCAGGCGCTTTCATCATCCCATGATATTCTCACACCATCCTAAGAGGTAGATATTTTAATTACCCCCCTTTCCTATAAGGAAATAGGTTCAGGGAGGCAAGATCATTAGCCCCAGCTCACACAGGAACAGTCAGAATTTGAACTCAGTTCTTCCTTGCCTGCAACATCCATGCTCCGGACCACGGCAACCCTGTCACATTGTACGAGGTGTCCGTTGGGTTGGCCTGCGAACAGTTAAACAGAGTTGGCCCATCCCCAGCAGTGAGGGGGACTTTTGGCCTTGTCTCTGCTTTAAAAGCTTGACTTGGCAGCTGCCCAAGTTCTCTCTTCTTTTCCATCCTTCTCAGTAGGCCCCTTGTTAATCTCCACGGCTCCAGCCTGGCAGGCGCCTCCTGGGTAGATGTAGTTCGTGTGGCTACAGGTTGCTGAGAGACTCCCCAGGCCCTCCAGGAAGGTCCCTGCCCATGACAGGGATGGGCTTACTTCACTTCTTGGTTCACTCATCAAGATCTGTAACCGCGCATTTATCACAGGCAGAGCCAGCCAGCCTGGGCCAGGAAAGCTTCGTGGTGTTCGAACTTCCTGGCTCCCTCTGCCCTTGGTCCTTTTTCTACAAAAGTCCGGTGCCAGAGAAGCAGTAGAACATCACAGTCAGCTATTCGGACTTCAGAGACCAGATTCCAATTCCATTCCCACCTGCCACTTACCAGCTATGTAACCTTGGGCAACTCACTTCACCATTTTGACCTCGATCTCCTCGTCTATAAATGGGGTGGGGGGTGGGGTCGTAACAGAGCTCGCCTGGCGGGATTACCGAAATGATCCAGGTGAAGTACCTGGCACACAGGAAGTGTTCTGATGGTCCTAGTTATCTTTATTTTGAATAATGGCATCCCAATGAGGCCACGCACATGTTCTCACAATTCCAATAGTTTGTTGAAGAAACTTTGTCCCAGATAGCCTCGTTCACCCAAAACAATCCAAAAATCATAAAAATAGCTTCAGAACTGGAACTAGATATGGGCTCAGAAATCCCATCTTTGATGCTTTCTCTCTCACTGGGCCTGTCATTTGGTTTCCCCAAGTCTCTATTAAATGTCCTATGCCATGGGCACACTGATTCCTACCTATTAACCGTTCTGGGCCCATTATAAAGCTCTAAACAGGATATGCCTCCGGAGGCATTTTGGGAACAAACCAATTATCACCTGCTATGATATACTTAAGATGTGCCCCCCAAATCATGGCTCATTCTAAGCAAGCATCACAGAGTATGGTGCCATCTGAAGTCTAGCCATGTTGCCAGCCTGACCCCGTTTATCTGTCAAGTTGCCCATTCCCCCATTAATTCCATCAGTAATGCATTTTGTAGTGAAGCACTCTCCAGCAGGCACATGGCAAATGAAAATGTGTCACCTGCTGTGAGTAACACCTTACTTAAGCTCTATAAAGGGAAGGTAGTGGTGGCCATTTCTGCCAGCAGCTGGTCAATTGTGAGTGTTAAGTGGAGACCTCAATCTAGGATCAAACACTGGGCCACAGCCCCCTTTTCAGTTACTGTGGGAGCAGCATTTTACCATTTGCAGAGCGTGTTCGGATTCTTTGTCTCATTTGAGAGCTTCAAATACTGTACAAGTTTAATATTATTAACCTCATTTTACAGAAGAGGAAACAAGCTCAGAGTGATTGAATGACCTTCCCAAGATTATACACAGAGCTAGAAAGGGGCAGAGCCAGGATTCAAACCCAACGTTGTATGTCCCCAAAGCCTCAGCTCTTGTCAAAAAGATTTTCTTTCAAATGCATAGAAGAATGTTTAGGTTGTATTAAAATAATAAATGAATAAAATCTTGTGCTTCTCCTAGACTTCCTGCAGAGGTGGATCCTGCGACAGTATTTGCCTCGCTTTCCCCAGAGGGCCTACTGATCATCGAAGCTCCCCAGGTCCCCCCTTACTCACCATTTGGAGAGAGCAGTTTCAACAACGAGCTTCCCCAAGACAGCCAGGAAGTCACCTGTACTTGAGACCTTAGTCTTGGCCTATCCTGTTCCCTCCCCAACCCCAGGGCTTCTCTGATTCCAGGGTACATTATATATTACTTTAGCTGAACTCATAGATTTAGTGTGACTAAAAGGTTGGGGTCGAGGTGAATTGACCAGTCTCTGGATAGTGTAGTACTACTAGGTTTTTCCACAAGAGGGCGCAATTGGCAAGTCATGCTCGGTTGCGTTAGGCCAAAATGCTGGGAGTTTTTCTTTCTTTACCTTTTCTATCTTTATTGAAATGTTGCACATTCTGTAGTTGCAAAACAAATAAAAGGGGACATAACATTTCACATTGAATCTTATCTTGCAGTGAATGCAAGGGTTGCTTTTCTCTGGGGACCTCGCATCACCCAGATTCCTATTCTAGGCTCCCAATGTCCATGTCTGCACCATGGTTGGTTGATGGAACCCTTTAGCTCACCTCTGCAGCCCTGGCCTACAAAGGGTGATAGACAGGTCTTATATCCCCAAATGAGAATTATTCAATAGCCACATAAAAACAAATAGTGCCTTCTGCCTTCCACCTCGGCATTTACAGCACATTCTCAAGCTGCTACTCCCCAGGACTCTGGACACCCCCTCAGTTTATCCTCTGGCTAAAGTCCCCCCTTTCTTTTGTCTCCTATGTCCACGTCTGGATTTTTACAGAGGGGGCTGTCTCCGGACAGCTCCACCAGGAACCAAGCAAAGGCCAAACAGCCTGGCTGGCAGGATAGTGGTATTATATATGTGGGTGGGACATGTGTGTCATTGTTTTTTGAATTGTGCTGTTGTTTAGGGGGAAATAATAGTAAACAATAATAATAATAATAAATAATAATAATAATAATAAAGGAGCTGATGTTCTTAGCCTCGCGTGCTTCTTTTGATTGAGGATTTAAATGCTATCCCACGTAGATTTGCACTATCAATTAGGAATGCTCCTGGTGGCAAATAATAACACCCAACAAATAGTGGCTTAAATGACAAACATCTATTGTCTAACTCTACAAGAGGTCTATATATGAGTGATCTCACAGTTATTTTTTTCAGCTGTTATGCCACCAAAAACCCAAAGTATTGCCATCCTTTTTCTCTGCCATCTCCGACAAGTCTACCAGTTCTATCCTCATGTTTGCAAGATGGCTGCAACAGCTCCAAGCATCTCATCTTCATGTGACAATATATAGGAAGAGAAGGCAGGAGTAAAACGGTCTTCTTATCTGACATTCTCTTTTATCAGTTCAAGAGTTTTTCCAGAAGCTCTCAGCAGACTTCTTTTATCTCACTGACCAAAACTGGGCCATATGTCTATCCTGAAGCCAATTTCTGGCAAAAGAGGAAGGGATGGCCATGATGGGCTTAGATCAATATTAATTTATCCTCTGAAGCCAGGAACATTTCTGCCTGAACAAAACAAGATTCTGTTAGGAAGGAGGAAAGGGCATAGCAGCTGGGAAGGGTGTCCACAGTGGAATGGCTGCCACAGACAATGCTGCCAGAGACACAGAATCCTGAACGTGGGGTGGTAGGGAGGAGGCTGCTGGTACAGCACATCAGTTAGACCTCTTTCTGTGGTAAATGCCAGGAAACCCAACTCAAACATTTAAGCAAAAATAAAAAAGGGGGAGTGGTATTTATTGGCACGTGTGGCTGAGAAGTTCAGGATAAAAGTTTCTTACAGAGCTCTCATGATGTCAGCAGAACTCAGTTTCTCTCCATCTCTTGGTCTTGAGGTGTTGGCCTCATTCCCAGTTTCCGCCATTGTCCCCTGCTCCTGGCCCTCCATGTCCCTATGTCCTCTCATGTAGTTACAAAATGGCTGCAGTCACTACACAGTCAAGTCCCCAGAGAGAAATGCCAGTCTTTTCCCATACCTTTGGCCATATTCTCAAGAGTCATTCTTATTGGACCAGCTTGGGTCACATAACCAACCTCACAAAATCAGTGCTTTGATTGGCCAGGCCTGGGTCACATGCTCCATCCCTGGATCCAATCGCATTTAATCCCCACAATGCCCAGGAAGTAGATATTAATTTTACCATGAGGAAGCTGAGGCTAAGAGAGAAGAGGTGGCTTGGGTAAGTTATAGGGGGACAGCAGAACTGAAATCTAGATGTTTGCTTTTAGAACAGTTAACACCGCCTGTGCTAGGAGCCGCCACCCCTGCTCACAGACCAGAGGCAGGCGTAAAAGAATGCCAGTCATTCCCTCTAAATCCTTAAAGTGTGCCAGATACCCTGCTAAGGGCTTTCTGCGGACAACAGATTGAATCCCCCTACAATTCTATGAGGCAGGTTCAACTCTTATCTCCATTTTACAGATACAGAAACATAGAAAGCATAAGCTCGCTGCCCCAAATCACAAACCTGGTAAACCACAGGCCCAGGCAGTCTGACCTCAGTACTTTTGCGTATTAACTATGAATGACCTTGCCTGCCTTTCACCCAACAAAGCAAAATGTAAGTGTCCCTTAAGTGAGTCTGTGTGAAGAGAAGAGAGAGGACATTTCAAGTTCAGGCTTGGCAGGGAGGTGGGGGTCAGGGACAGCTTACAGAGGAGGGGTTACTCAGGTCAGGTTTGAGGATCTGCAAGGTCGTAGGACTTGAGGCAGCAGGGATGGGGTGGGGAGGTCCTCACAAACAGAAGAAAACAGAAGAACCGAAATGTCTCTTTTAAAATCCTTTGTTGGGTCCCCATTGTTCAAAGGATTGAGTGCCAGCTTCTTTGCAAGACTTACAAAGCATTTTGGGGTCTGTCTCCGGGTACCTCTCTCCACCTTACCCTAATCTCTACCCCTCCCTCTTCAGCCCCCCTCACTTGCCTCTGTTCTTCCAACCAAACGGGTCCTCTCTTGCTATCTGAACTCTTCAGTACATCGTTCTCTCTCTCCAAGCATTATTCTACCACCCTCTTCATTGGTTAATTCTTTAGGATCTGTTACCGTAAGAACATCTAAACTTGTAGAGAATTTTTCTAAGAGTTCATTTGAGCCAATACTGACGGTTGCCGGGAAGTGAGATCTCAAATGCTCTCGAGAATGACAGCTTTGCAGCTTCTTTTATACAGTTGAAATTAAGGAGGGAATTTAAGGAAGATGACATGGAGGTGGGAAAAAACAAGGTGGGGACTGGATTATAGGTTAGTTACAAGATAATGTGCTCTTTCGAGAGTGGTTACGATTATTTCAAAGGTATGTTAACCTAGAGGCACAAAAACAACGGGACAGGGCTTGCTTAAGGCAAAGATAAACCTTTTACTAAAAAAGTTATATGCAACTTGCCCAATTAGGAATTTACGTTAAGATCACCCTGTGAAGTGACTTTCAATAGAACCACTTTTTGTTCCACAGGTCTCAACTGGGACTCTCTCCAAACTGTCGAGAGCCCCTCGCTAACTCCCAACACAGCACACCATATAACAGCCCGGCTATTTGTGTATCAGAATAAATAATAAAAATAGTCTTACAGACTCAAGCTGATGCTAGCTGTTCTGCTTACAGGGGCGGAAAGAGGAATCATTCAAGCCAAGGGGAGAATACCTACTTACTCAATGTTTGTTCAGCAAATGTTTGCTGAGGACCTGCCTACCATGTGCAAGGCTCTGTGCTGGGTGGCAGTGCATTTCTTTTCACTCTGAGAGCCTGGTGAGTGAAGGAGGAAAACACGGCTGTTATTTCATCAGCTCCAGCCTGCTAGATGGTGAGACCCCAGGCACGCAGAGTAGAGGATGCACTCATGCCAAAGACAGAAATGACCACGTGGATTTGCCCAAGCTGGGTCTCTAAGGCTAGGGGGCCTGGCAATGCAGTGGTAGGCCTGCAGGGCAGCAAGAGATGACCAGTGAGTATTGCCAGGTGGTGGGTGGACCCAGAATTTAAAAATTGGTACACGATAATCGATTTTCCATTCTTTGCATTGTGATATAAAACTCATGTGCCAATCCAAACGTTCGGATAGTCTTATGCACCCATGGGTACTTTGTCTGAATGGTGTGGGGACCACCCAGAGCACAGTGAACGGACAGGCAACTTCTCTATAGGCAGGAAGTTAAAATGAGAATTCTCCATGGGTAAGAACTTAAAGGGATCATGAGAATCGACCTACGGAAACATCACCAATCTCTTGGGTAGGACAGTGGATGGAGAGTGTGATTCAGTTTTATTTAAATATCTCAAGAGAGTGTGGCTTCACCTGATACCTGGGCTGTGTCCCTGGTAGATCTCACAAAGGCAGGGACCACATCTCATTGGTCTTGCTGTATCTCTAACTCCTAACACAGTTTCTGGTATATAGGAGGCATTTCGTACTTGCTGGATGCATGGGTAAATGTATCGAACCAAAAAAATCCAAACTTCTTTCTGCCTTCAAACTCCTGAATGATCTGGCCCCTGGCACCTCCCAGCTTCATCTCTCATGGCTCCCTGTCTTGTTCACTAAATACAGGCCTCCTTTCTGTCCCTCAAACATGCCATGCTCATTCTCACCCCAGGGCCTTTGCACTTTCCATTCCTTCGGTCATGCTTACTCTGTCCCCCAGCTCTCTGCCTGGCCGCCTCCTTCTTACCCCCATTGCCTCAGGTCTTCCCTCAAACTCCACCTCCGCAGAGAGGCCTCCCAATAGCCCCCATCCGCTGCTATACTGACTCCAAAGCACGTCTCAGAACTGTGCCTGCTTGGTTGCAAATACATGTGCATATTAAAGATCTAAGCTTCCCTCAACACATATCACGTCCGTAGATATACCCTAGAATGTAAGCTCCAAAAGGGGAGGGGTTTTCTTTTTCCGTGTGGTCCACCACTGTGTCTTCCATGCCAAGTGAGATGTTTGGTGCATCAACTAATAAATATATACTGAATGAATGGATGAATGAATGAATGGTGTGAGTCACCCCGGGAAATTAAGCCAAAGGCATGATCTCAAACCCCAGAAACCCAGCTCATTTCAGTTTGGAGAGCTTCCAGCTTAAAGACAGAAGCTTTGTCATCAAAATAGATGACTCGGCCCTTCCCAAGAGATCGCCAGAGAATGACAGAGAAATATTGTTCCTGGGCCCTCATTTGGATGACGATGCTGAGACAAGATACACAGAACCTGTTTCCTCACCCCAGTCCCTTGACCCAGCTCCCCAGAAAGTCTTATTTGCAGCCCCACCCCCACTCCGCTCCCAATTGCCTGTCAGCCAGCGGCTGCCAATGGTGATATATGGAAATGACTTGATTTGACCTTGAAGGGAAGAAACAAATTAATGCGTCTGGAAATAAATTCCGGGAATCAGTGGCTGGCCCCTCCTCTTGGTTGTGCATCATAATGTGAAAATCAATACTGTCTCTTAAATGAGCCAACACCTTGAGCTGGCAGGGTGTGGGGCTGCTGGGAGGACCCTCTCACCCGATGCCATGAGCCCAGGAGTTGTCAGACGGGGTGGGAGGCTCAAGGCCCTCTGTGGGCTCTGCTCTCTGGTTGCTGAAGGGTGGCTGAGTCACCCCATCTGTACCTCAACCCCCAGCTCCACGGCCTCCTGGGTGCGAGCAGATGTGAGCTACCTGATGGCTCCTAAGGGAAAAAGAACAGCAGCCACATAGAACAGCATCGTCGTGGCCATTCTCCAAGGATAACTGAGATATGGGGAGGGGAGGGGCGTCCAAGTCTAGCACCACCCCCATTCAGCAATTCAATGTATATTTACTGAGTGCCTGTACCGGGCACCAATTCAACTGTATGTCCCGGTACAATGGCGCCAGGTGACCAAATGTTGAAATACTTCAATATCGCTTGATAAATAGCACTGCCTGAGCCTCTAAGGTGCCCCTCAATGCCCTAGCCTATCTTAAGCATGTGTTTTTATTCTG